TCCTACTAGCTAACTTTAGTACTCAGCTCTGAAAATTTACATACATTCCTGTTAATTAAATTTTACCAGATTTTACGAAATTATAATAATTTTCCTAGTGATTTACTCGTTTTTCAAAGATAACGATAAAAGAACTATCAGATCAGTTTTTTATCGCACTGCGCATGCCTGCACCACGACCAGCATTTTTCAAAGCAGAGTTTGTAAGGTCTCTTTAAAAGCTGCTCTAACACACCCGAACGATACGGAGTCAATATTTGCTCTAACTGGTTTTACCCGAATACCCGAACGACTTAAGTAGGGTTGCCACCTCTCCGGGTTTCACCCGGAGTCGACGGGTTTTTACATTTGGTCTCTAGGCTCCGGATTACTGGGTGTTTTTTCCGTGTAAAACCTCATTTAACAAAAAAAAAACGCATTTAAGAAAAAAAATAGGATTTAGCAACAGCGCAATCCTGTTTGTGCAAATACCGTTTTTCTCGGAGAAATTGAGAAATTATCCGACTCTGACACGCACGTTGGTGATAGACAGCCCACGAACTCAATGCTGCATAATCTCCCTCAAGGATATTAAATGCTACTACAAGTCTGCGCATCGGACTCGATTTTTGGAATCAAGACCATGATGTTGCACCGTTACTGACGTCATCAACGGTGTCGTTAACTGTTTGCGTCAGCGGTCGTAGTTTAGAATATACATTTATGAAGAGAAATCATTTAAATTTGATTAACATAATATGCAAAGAGGAAGATATAAACGAGCCCCCGGATTCTATTTTACGAGTCGAGTCGGATTGTCTCGATATCGAATACGACAGCTCCGGACGTACCGTGTAACAGTATTGAGATATCGTAGAATAAAATCGCTATTTTGACAATTCGATACGAATTACGACTCGACTCGTAAAATAGAATCCGGCAGCAGATCTAAAAAGGAGTTGTTTTAGATTGCTGATTAATGTACTAAAACCATGTATGCATAAGCCAAAAGCCTGCGGAATCATAGTCTGTGGTGCAAACATCCTGCTTCAAGGCGGGAAACGACACGCTGCCTACGTCATCACTGGTTCTTTAGATCTTTGACGTGGTGGGGGCTTGAGATTTGATCTACACAGGTCTTATGAGGATAGGCTATCCTGTTTAGTGTGTAATATTCTTGAATCTTCTTCTCCAACCGTCTCAACTCCCAACCTCAAGCAAAGTTTCCTCGAGTAACATCCAGTGATGCTGGGGGGGGGGGACTTGTGTATATAGATACAGACAGATTGTAAAGTGTAATGCATCTGTTGCATTGTAGATCTGCAGATTTTCTTTTTCAGCTTTCTTTCAATAATGTTTTTTTTTCTCCGGTTCAACTTACTTTCAAAGGTGGCATCCCTACTTAAGAGCTGAAAGTGTTGAAAAAGTAATAGGAGCTGCCAATCCGAACCGGCTGCACTGGTAGCAGATGGAACTTGGAACGCAGACTAATGTATAATGGCCGTTTGCACCGACCATTTTGAGGAAGCCTTAAGCCTAGTACCTTAGAGCAGGAAAGCCTTTCCTACGGACATAAGGAGTAGGAACGCGCCATTCGGCTTATGAAACTAAAGTGAAGCCAAATTTTTGGCAGTTGTTTGGCACCAAGATACAGGTAAAGCATTGAATTGCCATAAGCGCCATTTTCTTGGTGCCAAAATACCTGAAAAAAAAACGGCTTCATTTTCCAAATCCAGGTTACTACTCCTCTTTACCTTTACCTGTTCTAAGCCTAGTACTCATAACTCCGAAAATCGCACTTGCTTCGACAATTTGACGTTATATGCGTGAATCAAACGTCAAATTGTCGAAACAATCTCAAAAAAATGCGAATTTCGCACTTATGAGTAGTAAGCTTTAGCGATAAGTATTCCTTAAAGTGACATTTATCCATGTAGAAATGTCATTTTAAGGAATACTTATCGCTAATGTTTCCTTAAAATGGTCGTTGCGAACGGCCATAAATCACCTATCCATTTTGGAGAGTGTTCCGTTCCCAACCCTGGATATCTGGTCTGTAGATCTTCGGTTGACAGTGATTCAATTGAAGACATGCAGTGACTTTGGAACTTTGTGATTTAGGCATCCGACAAGGTTGCTTGGAAGAGATAGGTTGCCTGATAACTTTTATGACTGTATGCCTAAGCACAATGCAAATCTCCATAGGAACCACCCGATGACGTCATCTGTTTGCCCTTATCAAACAACCTATTACAAGCAATTAATATTTAGGAACCTTGGGCATTACATTCTTCGTATTCTCTTTTCGACTTCCATTATACTTTGCTATTTTTCAAACTCCCAGGCACAAAAATTGTCAGAAATGAGAAATTATACAGAAAATTATAATATAACATATAAATTAAACAAAAAAATAATAACCAACCGGAAAAACGGAACGGTGACAATTCGATAGCCGACAGTTACCGAAAAACCTTTCAGCGATAGCCGGTTGCATCGGTGACATAACCATTTTCACATTTTTCACCGGAACGTATAAAGGCCCATCCTCAATCATTTCCAAAATTTTGGGGGGGCTGAGCGTCAAGTTAGCCCCCCAGTAGAATTTTGTCGGAAAATGACCGAATGTGGAAATTTTGAGAAAAACCTGATACAGCACAGTTCAGCACACTTCAGACTGGATAAGAATTCAATTTTGTTTAATCTGATTTTCAAAATTTTGGGTGGACTGAGCGTCAAGTTAGCCCCCCCACATTCGAATTTTCTGAAAAAATTGCAACCACTTACTGTGCTCGAAGTGTGCTTTACTGTGCCGATGATATTTTGAACTGTGCCGTTTCGATAACAAAGTTATAGGAAAAAATAGATGGGGGGCTAACTTGACGCTCAGCCCCCCCAAAATTTTGGAAATCAGATTAAACAAAATTGAATTCTTATCCAGTCTGAAGTGTGCTGAACTGTGCTGTATAAGGTTTTTCTCAAAATTTCCATATTCGGTCATTTTCCGACAAAATCCTACTGGGGGGCTAACTTGATGCTCAGCCCCCTCAAAATTTTGGAAAACAGATTAAACAAAATTGAATTCTTATCCAGTCTGAAGTGTGCTGAACTGTGCTGTATCAGGTTTTTCTCAAAATTTCCATATTCGGTCATTTTCCGACAAAATCCTACTGGGGGGCTAACTTGACGTTCAGCCCCCCCAAAATTTTGGAAATCAGATTAAACAAAATTGAATTCTTATCTAATCTGAAGTGTGCTGAACTGTACTGTATCAGGTTTTTCTCACGTGGGAGACTGTAAGCGTTTCGTAAAAACCAAACTAAAGAAAAACTGCTTCAGATATCGAGATGAACTTATTAAATTTATATATACGAAGGATTATACAACCAGCCTACAAAAGCGTTTCCTTGATATAATAAATATAGCTAATGACTCGCTGCGTTGCCAGCTTGAAAATACATTTTGAAATAATACACTTTTTTTCAAATTTTGTTGTTGTTTTTTGTATTTATTTTTTTTTAAATCCGATACCAGAGTCGCTTGCCAGTGAGTTCAGTGATGCATTTTAAACACTCCAGAGCGCCCCGGGCTGTTTATAGGCGTTCCAGTGTATCAGAGCTTCGCGCAACCGAACTTTTTTTTTCCGAGATAAAAAATAGCCTATATCACTCTCCTCTATAGCCGAATTCGATTGACCGGATTAGATTGATCTGGTTCAATTTAAGTGAACCACACTGTGTTGGATTGAGGCTGAATCAGTGCACCCTCATCAACAAAAAAAATGATCTAGATTAGAAGAAGTTCACTTAAATTGAACCCAAATCAATCTAATCTGGGTCAATCGAATTCAGCTTACACAGAGATACGTGGTATTAAATTTGAGATCGGTCCAGCCGTTCTCGAATTCAAAAAATAATAAAGTTACGTCGATTGAATGGCAAGCCTAAATAAATGAAATATGGCAACGTTGTTTCATGCGGTCAAAAAAAAGTTGGGTTATGTTGTTATGTAATGTGAATGAGTTTGTTTACAATTAAATTAACAATTAATTCAAAATTAATTTCTTTTTCCGAGATGCGTAAACTATCCACAAACCTTCCTTGGGATGGCCATAACAACCTAACAAAGTTTCATCGTAATCGGATAAGTGATGTAGGAGCGCATAGCCGGATACCCAGCAAACATTGATTTTTTTATATATATAATATATAGATTTATTGTAGAAAAATATGGTTGAAGGTCGCCTTTTTTTGCTCTTTTTTGAACGCAAATGAGCGATGGATTTTTTTTTTAAAAATCGCTCTGTAGGCTGGTAGGTTGGTTGAACCCTTGTAAGTTTTTGATCCAAAAATGAAGTCTGGTATTGCTTTATTGACGCCATAGTTTGGTTTTTGGTGAGCACTGATTTGATGCATTTTTGACTAAAATTATTTAATGCAGCGTTAAAACGCTGCATTAAATAATTTATTGACAATAAATCGTTTTAACACTGCAATAAATTATTGTAGTGTAGTTTTGTATTTCATTAAGCTTTTTAATGCATGTCGCAATTGTCTAGCTTTTCTTGAACTTTCGTCTCGCGGTCTGTGACTAAATAGCTTTTTGCCTGTAGTGGAGCCTTAACGCTCAGCTCTGGAATAAGTTTAAAAAATAAAAAACATATTGCGTTTTATTATCATCTCACAATGCAAAAATACAAAAATATGAAAATAGGTACACATATAGGAAAAAAAAACAACAAAATGCAAAAATACAAAAATAAAAACATAATAAAAACAATTACACAAATACGTACTTAAATAAGATTGTGTGAAAACAGGAAAAAAACTAGAATGTAAGAACGCAAAAATTCAATACTCAAATACAAAAATAAAATAAACTTCAATAGTAAAAAATATTTTGGGAAAAAAAAGAAACTGTAAGAATGCAAAAATTCAATACTCAAATTCAAAAATAAAATAAACTTCAATAGTAAAAAATATTTTGGTTTAAACATACAAACGTTAACAAATTAATAATTATCAAACTCTATAAAATAGTAAATGGGGATATACCATCTCGACTTCTGAGCAGTCCTGTTTATTGTTAGCGAGACTATCATACAACTCCCATTTCTCCCCAATTCTGTGACAGTATGCCTTGAAGTGTCCAATATGAGTGATATTTATAGGTTGTTGCGGTCCTACATACGCTATCACCCCACCCAAGGTTAATAATGTATCGTCTATCCATATCTCTTTTGAGATATCAGATAGACGAAGTAGTGGAATTGAGGGCAAAGAATTTGTTGTGGATCTAGTTATTTCCACAAATATGTAAACTTGGTTTTTCTCAATACTCACATCTGTAGTGCCTCCACAGTCCTTACGCGAACACGTGCTGCTGGAAAATCTTTTCCAAAAATATGACTCTACACCCTCAGAAATGCTTATATTTTGTTCTATAACCAATGGAATGATAGGCATGGATATTATTCTAATATTGGAACACTTTGAACAATATATTTTTTCAACATAAGAATAATAAAGTTCTCCGGAATTAGCAAGCTTGCGGATCAAATTTTCTACAGTAGTTTCAGTTGAAATATGGATCATTCCATTCGGTAACATATTGTGGTTTGGGAATGTCATAGAGAGGATTTCTGCCCGCAACTTGTAAGCTTTCAGTCCTATGAGCTTGATCATTTGTTTAGTGAGCTCTAGAAGTTGCTGAGATTGAAAGAAGGCAGCGAAATGATTACTGTCACAAAAGCTTGTACATAAAATTTGCATCAGCGAATCAAATGCACAAGTATTTGTTAACAAAACTTTTTTTTTCGCTAACTTAACAGGTTGCAGTTTGACGCAATTACCGTTCCTCAAAATTCCAATTGGAACAACACTGACTTTTTGTTGTAAGTCTATGTGGAGCCATTCGCTATTTTTTTCCAAGTAACTGCGTCGTTTTCGTTTACTTGGAACAACTAGTCCACCCCAGTTTTCTTGCGCACGTATTTCTTCATCAGCGATGTCGTAGTCAGCTGGAGCTGTGAGAAACAAATCTTTGAAAAATATGCAGAATATTCAGTCAACTTTATAAAATAACAAGAAAATATAGCATCTACATTTATCACTATGCGCTCTTTATATAATCAATAATTCAGTTAACAAATATAGGTTCTGACGTTAGACTCACAATATCTATTTAAGTGGTAGGTAACGTGAGATTGAATGAAGACATGGTGTTTCGACTATATATCATCACCCTATTACCTACCATTTGACCAGTTACGTATCTCTGGTCGTTATCAAGCTATGAATAATACAAGTTCTTACCAGTTACAATATTACATACAGTTTCTTAATTAATTATTGGATTTTTTTTTATATTATATTCTCGTAGCTGTTAAGAAATTGTATCATTCATAGCTTGATAAGAAACAGAAAGACCTTCGGACGATGAGGTAATGATATAGTCAAAACACCATGTCTTCACTCGTGATCTCATTTTGCCGTCTTCTCTGAACTGTATAACATTTACTGTAGTTTGGAGTGAAATGGTATGAGAAATGATCTGAAAATTAAAAAAAAAAAAGGAATAGTCAATTTTAGTGCACACCATACCTGATAAAACTTCCGTTGGGCTTTGTTGAATACTGGAAATGTTGTGCAAAGATTCATCTTTGGCGGTTTCTACGGTTTCTACAAATAAAATGGAATAAAAAAAGCGCTTACGGAATATTAGGCAGCTTACCAAATGTGTTGTCTAATGATTGCGCCATCGCTATCTTCATAGCACCTTCAAGTGATGAAATATGTTTGGTTAAAAATTCATCTATTCTGATGGGTAAATGTTCATCTGCGAAGGTCCTGTTCTTTAAATTGTTGAAATTACTTTCTACTGGTGCACTAGAAGCAGTAGAGTGTGCATTCGGAAAATGTTCAGTCGACATTACTGAAGACCATAGAGGAAATGTTTTCAGCAGAGATATTATTTTTGGAATCAGTGCAGGAAGGAATTGGCAGTTATCACGATTTCCCCTAACAATTTCATTTCTAGCCTCAGTCTCTATAGCCCTACCCCATTCACAGAAATTGTTATTCGACAGATCTTCAAAATTCATAATATCATTATCAGTCTCATATTCGTTGCCAATATCGTCATTCATGTTTTCGTAGCCGATTACCCTCCGTAAAAAACTTTTACACTTTTCAGATGGGGTTTCGATGTTAGTACTGCCCGAAGTACCTTCAGTTTCGTTAAGTGCAACAACACATATTGCTTTAAGAATTTTGTGTGCATCAGACATATTAGTGGTTTGAATTAACTGACCAATTACCCTTTTATAAAAATGTCTGCTTCGTTTTGGTGCACTTTTCAAACATTCCCACCCACAAATCGATTTTATAACATGGGCGACATCAAAACGAACATATGTGCTAAGTTTAAATTTCAAGGACTGCCTCTTCAAAAGGTGCTCATAGCAGTCATCTAGGTAAACACCCAGTGACGAATAACTTGTGAATGATCGAATAATAGCAGATGTTAATGCAATTGACATATCACAAACGACTTCGTTTGGCATCTTTGCTCCGTCTCGTTTCCAAAATTGCAGCCAGTGCATTATACTGTCAGCATCGTGTCTCTCTGAGAGCATGTTGCATGCCGAGTACTGCATTCCAGTTTTTCGATCATTGACAGTAATATCATATAAAAAAATCACTTTGGATTTCTCGCCGCTTGGTTTTGTAATACGACGGACTACTTCTCCTGTAGCGTCAATTGATATTTTTGAATGGGTAGTTGTTTGTACATAGTTATTATATACATGAATTTGGGGTGTACTCCAGTAGTGAACAAATAACCGATCAAGGCCGATATCTTTAATATAATTATTGTAAGGGTGTTGATATTTCAGAGCGTATACCGACTCGATTGGATCCTCGCTCAACCTATTACGTTTGCGTTCTTCGTACTTCAAATTTCTCAAAATATTGCTTTTTGGTATCACATTTGGTTCGGCCTCACCCAATATCATTATGTTATCAACTTGTCGTTTACGGTAAGTGCTAGCTGGAAGTCGATTGGACAATAACACTTTTCCGATCTCACGTCTATATGCCCCTCGGAGTTGTCTCTTGATTACACTTTTACAATCATCGAAGTTGCCTGAATATTGACAATGGATTACGACAAGAGAATGTGCTGATGGCTTAACGGGCAGAACACCAGTTAAATTGGACTCACAGTTCTTACAGGTCCCTTTAAAATTCAAATACAGTCCCGTTTCATGTATTTTAGCTCGATGGAATTTTATCGTGCATGGCAATTTCGTTACATGCCAAAAATGATTAGCGACGATGCTTGTCCATTTACCTGGAGGTAGAGCATTATATATTCTGGAGCCATATAGTTTGGACTGTGGTTTGATTTCGTTCCATTCCTGAGCAGACAATGTAATACAAAATGACGTTGAATTTTCTTCTGTGGAAATGCTATTTTTTGAATTTGTGGAATTTTCATCCGAAGAACTAAGTTCATCATGTTGAGGCACATCCTTCAAAGATGGTTTTAGTTTCTCCAGGAAGTTATGACGATTTTGTAGAACCATGGTGTAAAGATATTTTTTAGTGTAGTGGTGACTTGCCTCCTTGGATATTATTTTCCACACCGAGTGGGAAGGTGGATTGATTTTTCCAGTTACGATATCGAAAATCTCACTTTTATTTTTGAGAAAAATATCGAATAAGTGATCTATCTTCCGATTTTGAGGCATTATGATTTACACAATAATTTCGAACCTGATCTGAAAATAAATAAAGCATCAATGTTTTATTTAGTTTTTTGCTAAAATCTTGGGTAATTTTAAACAGTAGGTAACTTCAAAATTTTAGATGAACAATAAACTTCAAAATCTCATTTGTTTTGGGAATTACGAAATAGTACATTATATACCTAGGTACTAAAGTGGTAGTTTTAATCCCAAGACAAGAAGTTTATTATTTGTCGAGAGATTAAAAAAACACTTAAGTCCTGAGGTGTATAAACTTTACTCTCGAGTAAATGAAACAGGGATTGAAAGGGTATTTTTAATTTCTGTTCTAAAATCCCCGGAAAATAAAGTGAAAATTTAATCCCTGGGAAATAAAGTAAAATTTAATACCGGAGATTAAAAGACCCACATTACTCCCTAAGAATGCACTACATACATGGTGCTTCAAAAAGTGTGGCGCATCCTTCATATGTTTATTCCTAATTAAATGATTCATCCCATTTTTTAATCTATCTTTAAATTCTGCGACAAATTCTAAAACTTTTCTAATAGGTAATAATAGCTTTGTTCGCGGGTGAATTCTGAACCGATTCCGAACCGTTTCCGAACCATTTTCGAAATGATTGCACAAATATTTGCTTTGTCAATGAAAAGTGTTTAATATTTTTCTGACAATAAAGCTTATTTGATTGGATTGGATTTGAAAATAGCTCCAAACCAGTTCAGAGTCGAACCCGCGTACGAAGTACGAAGCTAATGTTAAACCTACAGTGCTAACGAAAATAGTCCTCCCCCCTTCTAAATATCCGTCACTCAATTCTGAACCACAACCACAAATTATTTATTTCATTTCTACTTGACAATTATTGATCCATGATACCTTGGAAACAAAATATTTTAATATACCCGTAGCACCCGCTCCTAATTCCCCTGGGCGTTATGATCTATAACGCCCGCCTTTATTTCCTTAGGGCGTTACGATCCGAAACACCCGCTCATAATAGTTGTATTCCTTTCAAGAGCTTGAAACACTCGAGCTACTCGCTTTGGTGCTTAGTCGCCCCCGATTTGCAGAGAACATAATGCGTGGTGCAACAAACACTTTTCGGAAGGAATAAGCGCGTGAATCCCCGGAGCTGTTCCGGAGCTCCTCCTAGGTGTGAAAGGAATACAAAATACAACTAATGCCTGTTGCCGTTATGATCTATAACACCTGCTCATAACGCCCGCCTATAACACCCGCCTATAGTGCCCTGCGGTTGTTATGGATATGTCAATACAATCAAAAGAAGGACGTTCTACCTAAGCTTAAAACATCCTAGTTATGCTATCAATTACCGTATTCCTTTTACCCGTTGAGTTAGTTACTCGGAGCTGCTCAATGTCAAAAGTTTGAACGTTCCTTTTAAAAGTGCGTTAAGCACTCGAGTCGCTCATAGTGCATCCCCCTTCTCCCTGATGCACCAAATTTGCGGGGGGTGCAAGAAGCCCTTTTAGGTAATGAAGGTAATGCTAAATAATGATAACATCTGAATTGTGTGTTTTGGAGTGACACCGAGGAGCTCGTTCGGTGTAACTCGACGTATAAAAGGAATAGTTGTATTCCTTTCAAGAGCTTAAAACACTTGAGCTACTCGCTCCGGTGTTTAGTCGCCCCCGATTTGCAGGGAACAGATGCGTGGTGCAACAAACACTTTTCGAAAGGACTAAGCGCGTGAAGCCCCGGAGCTGTTCCGGAGCTCCTTCTAGGTGTGAAAGGAATACAACTAATACAGTAATTGAAGGGTTGCCCTGTACAGTAGGTAAAGAAAGAATTATCAACTTACCTTATTTAATCACCACAAAATACGTTGAAAAAACACACTACAAATAATAACTACTTATACCAAAATTTAATAGAGCCGCGGAGACCTCTTCAGTCTTCAGTCTTCAAATACACAAACTAACCCGAACTAAACAGAAAAATTATTAAAATATACCCGGGGTACTATGGCCGTTCGACAAAGGTCCTTACAAAATTAAGTCCAGAAACATAACCTGATCACGATCACGATTCTTAGTGGGAGTGCGTTCCGTTTCCAACCTTGGTTACAGTAAAGCTACATCCTCGATCAATCGGGCAGCGAAATGGCAATTCGGCACGCGTGCTGGGAAATTGATAACCCATCCCCCTATCCTCAATGCTGTCAATTTTCAGTCTGCTGTGCGTGTAGTACGATCGCGAACCGTGCGTTCAGTATTTTGATCTGAGTTCTCCGAGCATAAATTTATCGTTCGTTTTTTAAAAAGTGTACTCGGTGCAGGCTCATTCATGTTCGATTATTAAAATTTTGAGCCTTCTGATACAGCGTTCAACTGCTCTGTGCGCTCGCTAGTCACGTGATTACAGCTCCGTTCTGCACGCTCTGCTCTTCGAGCAAAATACCGAACACAAGGATAACCTGAATTATTTTTCACCGTACTGCGCATGACATATGTCGGCACGCATCGAAAAAGCTTGTAGCTTGCAAGCTTGCACTTTAGAGTCGGCGTGCATGCTAGCACGGAATTGAATTGAGGATGCAAACGTTAAGCAACATTTATCCTAGCATACGTGCCGAAGTGCCACTTCGCTACCAGATTGATTGAGGATGGGCCTTTATACGTTCCGGTGAAAATGGTTATGTCACCGATGCAACCGGCTATCGCTGAAAGGTTTTTCGGTAACTGTCGGCTATCGAATTGTCACCGTTCCGTTTTTCCGGTTGGTTATTATTTTTTTGTTTAATTTATATGTTATATTATAATTTTCTGTATAATTTCTCATTTCTGACAATTTTTGTGCCTGTGAGTTTGAAAAATAGCAAAGTATAATGGAAGTCGAAAAGAGAATACGAAGAATGTAATGCCCAAGGTTCCTAAATATTAATTGCTTGTAATAGGTTGTTTGATAAGGGCAAACAGATGACGTCATCGGATGGTTCCTATGGAGATTTGCATTGTGCTTAAGCATACAGTCATAAAAGTTATCAGGCAACCTATCTCTTCCAAGCAACCTTGTCGGATGCCTAAATCACAAAGTTCCAAAGTCACTGCATGTCTTCAATTCAATTGAATCACTGTCAACCAAAGATCTACAGACCAGTTATCCAGGGTTGGGAACGGAACACTCTCCAAAATGGATAGGTGATTTATGGCCGTTTGCAACGACCATTTTAAGGAAACATTAGCGATAAGTATTCCTTAAATTGACATTTCTACATGGATAAATGTCACTTTAAGGAATACTTATCGCTAAAGCTTACTACTCATAAGTGCGAAATTCGCATTTTTTTGAGATTGTTTCGACAATTTGACGTTTGATTCACGCATATAACGTCAAATTGTCGAAGCAAGTGCGATTTTCGGAGTTATGAGTACTAGGCTTAGAGCAGGTAAGGGTAAAGAGGAGTAGTAACCTGGATTTGGAAAATGAAGCCGTTTTTTTCCAGGTATTTTGGCACCAAGAAAATGGCGCTTATGGCAATTCAATGCTTTACCTGTATCTTGGTGCCAAACAACTGCCAAAAATTTGGCTTCACTTTAGTTTCATAAGCAGAATGGCGCGTTCCTACTCCTTATGTCCGTAGGACAGGCTTTCCTGCTCTAAGGTACTAGGCTTAAGGCTTCCTCAAAATGGTCGGTGCAAACGGCCATTATACATTAGTCTGCGTTCCAAGTTCCATCTGCTACCAGTGCAGCCGGAGCTCGGTTCGGATTGGCAGCTCCTTTTACTTTTTCAACACTTTCAGCTCTTAAGTAGGGATGCCACCTTTGAAAGTAAGTTGAACCGGAGAAAAAAAAACATTATTGAAAGAAAGCTGAAAAAGAAAGTCTGCAGATCTACAATGCAACAGATGCATTACACTTTACTATCTGTCTGTATCTATATACACAAGTCCCCCCCCCCCCCACCCCCAGCATCACCGGATGTTACTCGAGGAAACTTTGCTTGAGGTTGGGAGTTGGGAGTTGACACGGTTGGAGAAGAAGATTCAAGAATATTACACACTAAACAGGATAGCCTATCCTCATAAGACCTGTGTAGATCAAATCTCAAGCCCCCCACCACGGCAAAGATCCAAAGAACCAGTGATGACGTAGGCAGCGTGTCGTTTCCCGCCTTGAAATAGGATGTTTGCACCACAGACTATGATTCCGCAGGCTTTTGGCTTATGCATACATGGTTTTACAGCTATTTGCACCGGTGTTCCATAAAAACAAACTAAGTTAGGTAGAGGCTAAACTTTAAGGTGAACCTTTAGGTTGAGTTGCTTTGCACCGACCAAATCTTAGCTAAGAATTGAAAGCTATTGGCAACAGCGCAAAAATGCATATTTCAAGGCAGAAATGAAGGAGGATGTACCTATTTCAAGCAAGGAATTTATCCGTTAACCTATCTTTGCGATTAAAATATAAATATTTTCGTTAATTTCGTCTTTTCTTTCATAAGTTATAATATTACCTTGCATTTTTTGGGACTTACACCTCAATTGATATTAATACCAGAAGTTTCTTGTTTTTGCTATGAACATAAACATTATATATTTTTTTTTTTGCTTTAAACATGCAGTCTTCGGAGAAAAGGCTCTTGGAACCTTGGATATTACAAATACAAAATCATCGATAATCAAAGTCAACCAGAATTCTGTCAAAAAAAGAAAACAAAACCCATAAATGAGGTTAGAATCCAACTAAGCGGAGAAAATCCGGGGCTTACTGCTATTTGCACCGCTACAACTTAAGGTCAGCCTTAGTCTTAAGTGGAACTTAAACTACAATTTTGCTTTGCACAGTTGTTTAGGGTCCACCTCAAGTCTAGTTAAGTTAAGCCACGGATTTTCTCCGCTTAGTTGGATTCTAACCTCATTTTTGGGTTTTGTTTTCTTTTTTTGACAGAATTCTGGTTGACTTTGATTCGATGATTTTGTATTTGTAATATCCAAGGTTCCAAGAGCCTTTTCTCCGAAGACTGCATGTTTAAA